CACGATATTCACTGCGTATTGGCTACACAGAGAAACTGCAACCGGTGAAGTTCTACCACCTATGGTGGTGCCGACCAACTGGGCATCAGCTCCGGGCTCATGGTCTGCTTGCACAGTCAACCTTTACTCACACGGGGAGGTCACTTATTCTCTTCTGCTGCACCCACAGCCTGGAACTCCCTTCGGCCCAGCCATCCATGCTGTCGACTCCCTGTCCAACTCCAGGCTCGAGAAATCCCTCTTCTGCTCTGCCTATGACTGGCCGACTGCCTCCCTCTCTCCGAGAGGCCCACATACTCAGAGACTCCACAGACACAGAGACCAATAGACTCACAGAGACTCAGACTCGCATAGAGATCCACAGACTCACACGGAGCCCCACAGAGATAGAGACCAAAAGACTCCGAGACTCCACAGAGACACATACCCATACACTCGCACACAAACCAATAGACTGGCATGGAGACCTCAGAGACCAAAAGACTCGCATAGACCCATAAACTCACACAAAAACCAACACTCACACGGAGACCCCACAGAGTAAGAGACCAATAGACTCGCATAGAGACCCATAAACTCACACAAAAACCAACACTCACACGGAGACCCCACAGAGTTAGAGACCAATAGACTCGCATAGAGACCCATAAACTCACACAAAAACCAACACTCACACGGAGACCCCACAGAGTTAGAGACGAATAGACTCGCATAGAGACCCATAAACTCACACAAAAACCAACACTCACACGGAGACCCCACAGAGTTAGAGACCAATAGACTCGCATAGAGACCCATAAACTCACACAAAAACCAACACTCACACGGAGACCCCACAGAGTTAGAGACGAATAGACTCGCATAGAGACCCATAAACTCACACAAAAACCAACACTCACACGGAGACCCCACAGAGTTAGAGACCAATAGACTCGCATAGAGACCCATAAACTCACACAAAAACCAACACTCACACGGAGACCCCACAGAGTTAAGAGACCAATAGACTCGCATAGAGACCCGTAAACTCACACAGAAACCAACACTCACACGGAGACCCCACAGAGTTAAGAGACCAATAGACTCGCATAGAGACCCGTAAACTCACACAGAAACCAACACTCACACGGAGACCTGACTTGGCTGGTTCTCTCGACATAATAAATGTTGCCCACTGTTGCTGTGCAACGTCTGAGAGATGCGGTGGCTTTCAGTCGGCACTTTTTTTTATCCGCACTCTGTTGCAACTGTACAGACTTGCATAGAGACCCACGGACTGGCATAGACTCTGAGACTCGCAGAGACCCACGGACTGGCATAGAGACCCACGGCCTGGCACAGAGACTCACAGACTCGCAGAGAGACCACCGGACTGGCACAGAGACTCACAGACTCGCAGAGAGACCACCGGACTGGCACAGAGACCCACAGACTGGCATTGAGTCCAACGGACTGGCATAGAGACTTGCGTGGAGACCCACAGAGTCGCATGGAGACCCACCGAGACCTATGGACTTGCATAGCGTCCCATAAGATCCCCCGTATAGCCTCAAACAGACTGTTGGGGCACATGCTGTTAAGTGAGCAGCACACCTACGAAGGCCGGAGCGGCAGACGGGGGGGGAGGGTGGCCAACACCACGCCTGGCAGCCTTCGTCTCCCCGAGTGGTGATGTTGAGACACCGCACCAGGTACCCAATCGAGGACGAGTCGACCGAGGCGAGTACCCAGGACCGGTTCAGATAAATCGACACCGGTGCCGCGGGACTTTCAGAGCGTGTGGGTGGGTGGAGGGAGGGAGGGGGGTCAATTCAGCCTGCCCCCCCCCCCCCTCCACCACCTCCGTCAACCATACAACCCCGCCGTCACATTCGGTCCGTTCACCTCCGATAACGCCGCGCGTTGTTTTCATCTAACGTGAATTGGATACAACGCCATGATGGATGTTATTCGGGAACGCAGCTTTTGTCATGGCGCGGACGCCAATTGGACTCAACGCGATCAAGTGAACACGACCGCTCCGCGAGAGGAGTAAGCCACCGCACGGCCGCCCCGGCGCAGCATCGCGCAAGACGGCGGGATGCTGCTGGATCGGTGGGATGCTGCTGGATCGGCGGGATGGCTGCTGGATCGGCGGGATGGCTGCTGGATCGGCGGGATGGCTGCTGGATCGGCGGGATGGCTGCTGGATCGGCGGGATGGCTGCCGGATCGGCGGGATGGCTGCTGGATCGGTGGGATGCTGCTGGATCGGCGGGATGGCTGCTGGATCGGCGGGATGGCTGCTGGATCGGCGGAATGGCTGCCCAAGCGCCCTCAGTCTTTGTTTGGCCTGCGTTACGCATCTCGCGCATTATCGCGGACTGGGCTTTACCCCCTGTATTACATATTAATCATAAGTGCGATGTTTTCATAATGCGGTGTTCCTGAAGAACGCCACTACTACTACTACCGTCACGTCAGAGGAGACGAGACCCCGTAAACCGCATTATTAATGACACCTCAACCACCGCCACTGCGATAACGACTCTTGTAAAATTCCTCCTCGTCCCCATCGCTCGGTGGCAACAGCGCTGCGGACGCCACGTGTAGCGGCGACGCAATACCAAGATACAACCGCAATGGTGCAGCACTGCACGTGCGCGCTCACGTGGAAAGCGGGCTACAGTCGCGCGACCATCGCCAGCCGAGGGCCATTCGCCAACAGAGACCATCGCCCAGCCTAGCAGCATCACCAAATCTAGCACCAGTACACAGTGGGCACCATTACGTAGCAAGCCACAACCACCACCATCATCATCCCCGCCTGGCACCAGCGCCACCGCCCCAGTCTCTCTCCAACGCACCGGGGGTCACGGGAGAATCACAGGGGTCACGGGGTCACGGGGGGACAGCTCACCCAAACACAGCAGCTGCCTGCGCGGGCTGCTACCAGCAGCCCGCGGGTGTGTGGACCCGCTTGCCTAGCGACACCGTCACCGACCAGCTCCCGTGCGCGGCCGCTGCCGCCGCGGCTGCCGGTAATCGTTTGGCTGCAATTTGTTGTAGTGCGGCTGTAGTTGGTTATAGTTGGGTTGTAGTTTGTTATGGTTCGCCTGTAGATGCTTGTAGTTTGACTGTGTGGTTTGTTATAGTGGCCTGTAGTTTGACTGTGTGGTTTGTTATAGTGGCTTGTAGTTTGACTGTGGTTTGTTATAGTGGCTTGTAGTTTGACTGTGTGGTTTGTTATAGTGGCTTGTAGTTTGACTGTGTGGTTTGTTATAGTGGCTTGTAGTTTGACTGTGTGGTTTGTTATAGTGGCTTGTAGTTTGACTGTGGTTTGTTAAAGTGGCTTGTAGTTTGACTGTAGTTTGTTATAGTAGCCTGTAGTTTGACTGTGTAGTTTGTTATAGTGGCCTGTAGTTTGACTGTAGTTTGTTATAGTGGCTTGTAGTTTGACTGTGTGTTATAGTGGCCTGTAGTTTGACTGTGTGGTTTGTTATAGTGGCCTGTAGTTTGACTGTGTGGTTTGTTATAGTGGCTTGTAGTTTGACTGTAGTTTGTTATAGTGGCTTGTAGTTTGACTGTGTGTGGTTTGTTATAGTGGCCTGTAGTTTGACTGTAGTTTGTTATAGTGGCTTGTAGTTTGACTGTAGTTTGTTATAGTGGCTTGTAGTTTGACTGTGTGGTTTGTTATAGTGGCCTGTAGTTTGACTGTAGTTTGTTATATTGGCTTGTAGTTTGACTGTGTGGTTTGTTATAGTGGCCTGTAGTTTGACTGTGGTTTGTTAAAGTGGCTTGTAGTTTGACTGTGTGGTTTGTTATAGTGGCCTGTAGTTTGACTGTGTAGTTTGTTATAGTGGCCTGTAGTTTGACTGTAGTTTGTTATAGTGGCTTGTAGTTTGACTGTGTGTTATCGTGGCCTGTAGTTTGACTGTGTGGTTTGTTATAGTGGCTTGTAGTTTGACTGTGTGGTTTGTTATAGTGGCTTGTAGTTTGACTGTGTGTGGTTTGTTAAAGTGGCCTGTAGTTTGACTGTGTGGTTTGTTATAGTGGCCTGTAGTTTGACTGTGTGGCTTGTTATAGTGGCTTGTAGTTTGACTGTGTGGTTTGTTATAGTGGCCTGTAGTTTGACTGTGGTTTGTTATAGTGGCTTGTAGTTTGACTGTGGTTTGTTATAGTGGCTTGTAGTTTGACTGTGTGGTTTGTTATAGTGGCTTGTAGTTTGACTGTAGTTTGTTATAGTGGCTTGTAGTTTGACTGTGGTTTGTTATAGTGGCTTGTAGTTTGACTGTAGTTTGTTATAGTGGCCTGTAGTTTGACTGTGTGGTTTGTTATAGTGGCTTGTAGTTTGACTGTAGTTTGTTATAGTGGCTTGTAGTTTGACTGTAGTTTGTTATAGTGGCCTGTAGTTTGACTGTGTGTAGTTTGTTATAGTGGCCTGTAGTTTGACTGTGGTTTGTTATAGTGGCCTGTAGTTTGACTGTGGTTTGTTATAGTGGCTTGTAGTTTGACTGTGGTTTGTTATAGTGGCTTGTAGTTTGACTGTAGTTTGTTATAGTGGCTTGTAGTTTGACTGTGGTTTGTTATAGTGGCTTGTAGTTTGACTGTGGTTTGTTATAGTGGCCTGTAGTTTAACTGTAGTTTGTTATAGTGGCTTGTAGTTTGACTGTGTGGTTTGTTATAGTGGCTTGTAGTTTGACTGTGTGGTTTGTTATAGTGGCTTGTAGTTTGACTGTGTGTTTTGTTATAGTGGCCTGTAGTTTGACTGTGTGGTTTGTTATAGTGGCTTGTAGTTTGACTGTGGTTTGTTATAGTGGCCTGTAGTTTGACTGTGTGGTTTGTTATAGTGGCTTGTAGTTTGACTGTAGTTTGTTATAGTGGCTTGTAGTTTGACTGTGTGGTTTGTTATAGTGGCCTGTAGTTTGACTGTGTGGTTTGTTATAGTGGCCTGTAGTTTGACTAGTTTGTTATAGTGGCTTGTAGTTTGACTGTAGTTTGTTATAGTGGCTTGTAGTTTGACTGTGTGTGGTTTGTTATAGTGGCCTGTAGTTTGACTGTAGTTTGTTATAGTGGCTTGTAGTTTGACTGTGGTTTGTTATAGTGGCTTGTAGTTTGACTGTAGTTTGTTATAGTGGCCTGTAGTTTGACTGTGTGGTTTGTTATAGTGGCCTGTAGTTTGACTGTGGTTTGTTATAGTGGCTTGTAGTTTGACTGTGTGGTTTGTTATAGTGGCCTGTAGTTTGACTGTGGTTTGTTATAGTGGCCTGTAGTTTGACTGTGGTTTGTTATAGTGGCTTGTAGTCTGACTGTAGTTTGTTATAGTGGCCTGTAGTTTGACTGTGTGGTTTGTTATAGTGGCCTGTAGTTTGACTGTGTGGTTTGTTATAGTGGCTTGTAGTTTGACTGTGGTTTGTTATAGTGGCCTGTAGTTTGACTGTAGTTTGTTATAGTGGCCTGTAGTTTGACTGTGTGGTTTGTTATAGTGGCCTGTAGTTTGACTGTGTGGTTTGTTAGAGTGGCCTGTAGTTTGACTGTGGTTTGTTATAGTGGCCTGTAGTTTGACTGTGGTTTGTTATAGTGGCTTGTAGTCTGACTGTAGTTTGTTATAGTGGCCTGTAGTTTGACTGTAGTTTGTTATAGTGGCTTGTAGTTTGACTGTAGTTTGTTATAGTGGCTTGTAGTTTGACTGTGGTTGCTTGGAGTTTGGCTGCAGTTTATAATACTTTGTTGAGTTTGGCTGGAGTTTGGCAGCAGTTGGTCGTAGCTTGGCTGTTTGTTGGAATTTAGCTGCATTTTGTTGGAGTTTGTTTGTAGTTGGTTGTAGTTTGGCTGTATTGGCTGGTAGATTGGTTGAAGCAGCCTGCAGTTTGGATATAGATTACTGAAGTTTGTTTGTAGTTGATTGTAGTTTGGCTGTAGCAGATTTTGTGGTTTGGCTGTATCGGCTTGTACGTTGGCAGTAGTTGCTTGTAGTTTTGCCTGTAGTTGCTTGTTAGCATGGCTGTAGCTGGGTTTAGCTATCTTTTTCTAATGCTATCTACTGTTGAGTGTCAGGCAGCCCTTTCTGGCCGTGTCTGCTGGCCCAGGTTGGCTGTTTCTAAGTTCCACTGGCTGTTGTTGTTGAACATTTTGAGCCACAGTGGCGATCGTGAACATGGCGGGATCGGTGAGCTATGGTGGAATTGGTGAGCCACGGCAGGTTCGGTGAGCTATGGTGGGATCGGTGAGCCGTGGCGAGTTTGGCGAGCCATGCTGGATCCCGAGAGCTGTGGTCGGGCCCGGTCAGACATGCTTGATCCGGTGAGTTATGCTGGCTGCTCCGGTGAGCTATGGTGGGATCGGTGAGCTGTGGCGGGTCCGGTGAGCCGTGGCCAATCCAGCGAGCCGTGGCCAGTCCGGTGAGCAGTGGTGGAATTGGCGAGCCGCGGGCAATTCAGTGATGTATAATTTTGGGACTGGTAAACGGCGGTGTTGCGGGCTGGTGAGTTTTCCCCATTCGGTGAGCTGTGCAAGGGTCAGTCAGCCACGGCAGGGTGAATTAACTTTGCCATGGATTGTTGTGGCGCAGCGTGGGTTCGTGTGCCGTGGCGGTTTTGGTGAACAGTGGCGGGGTCCAGTGAGCCATGGGCAGGGGATTCGGTGAGCCGTGGTGGTATCAGCGAGCTGTGTTGAGGTCGACCAGCATTGGTGGGGTCAGTTGGCCTTGGCACAATCAATTAGCAATGCCGGGTTTCGGTTGGCCATGGCAAAATCTGTGTGTGTATCCGTGGCGGGCATTTATCCTTGGCGTGTGTGTGTAAATCCGTGCTGGGTGGTATAGTGTATCCTTGGCGTGTGTGTGTAAATCCGTGCTGGGTGGTATAGTGTATCCTTGGCATGTGTGTGTGAATCCGTGGCGGGTGCGTACGTGTATCCGTGGCGAGTGTGTATGTGTAGCCGTGGTGGGTGTGTGTGTATCCGTGGTGTGTGTGTGTGTGTTTGTATCCGTGGCAGGTGTGTATGTGTGTATGTGTGTATCCGTGGCAGGTGTGTCGCCGTATCCGTAGCGAGCTCAGTTATCGGTGGGAGAGGCCATGGAGCTGTAGCCAGGGCTGGGGTCCGTGTGGAGTTGGGAGCTCTCCGTGGCTGGGCGAGGTTGCTGCACGATTATCGGTACCGTGTCGTCATCACCACCACCACCACCATCACCGTCACCATCGTCACCTACTGCACACGCGCGCGCACACACACACACACACAGGGTGTCATCGTCACCGCCGACATCACCTTCTGCACAGACGTACACAGGTACTAGGTATACAGGCACGTGGATGTACATGCAAATACACATATACATACACGGATGCGTGCACACGGTACACACATGGGTGTAGAGACGCACAGGAACGCATGCACCTTCCATTAGCATTGTTGGCTACGTGCGGTGCGTAAGAAGTTCAACATACACGTGTGCATGTACACACACACGGGGACACACACACACGTACACGAACATAAACGCACATGCACGTGATACATCAGACAAAGGCCCCCCGTGTAGCCTTAACAGACTGTTGGGGCAAGTGCTGTTAGCGAACACCTATGAAGGCCGGCACGGCACTCGGGGGGGATGGGGGAGCCAGCACCACGCCCGACCGCCTTTGTCTCCCCAGTGACAAAATTGACACACCGCTCCAGGCACCCATTTGAAGAGGCCCAGAACCCGTTCAGATAACCGTCGCTGGTGTAGTTGGCCGTGAGCGGGGATCCAGCTATATTTCTCCTGCCTCAGCAGTTCGCCCGCTGTATTTTTTCACCTGAAGACGATTGCCACTCATAATTGTTTTTCTATCCACGTGACTTCACCGGAAGACCCAAAGAGTAGTAATTGGTTGCATGGCACCGGTCGTTAAGTGATTTCGTCGGTGTCACACACACACACAGCTCACTGTGTCACACACACACAGCTCACTGTGTCACACACACACACAGCTCACTGTGTCACACACACACACACCCTGCCCACTGAGTCTCACACACACACACACAGCTCACTGTGTCACACACACACACACACCCTGCTCACTGTGTCACACACACACACCACTGTGTCACACACACACACAGCTCACTGTGTCACACACACACACAGCTCACTGTGTCACACACACACACAGCTCACTGTGTCACACACACACAGCTCACTGTGTCACACACACACACAGCTCACTGTGTCACACACACACACACCCTGCCCACTGAGTCTCACACACACACACACAGCTCACTGTGTCACACACACACACACACCCTGCTCACTGTGTCACACACACACAGCTCACTGTGTCACACACACACACAGCTCACTGTGTCACACACACACACAGCTCACTGTGTCACACACACACACAGCTCACTGTGTCACACACACACAGCTCACTGTGTCACACACACACACACCCTGCTCACTGTCACACACACACACAGTTCACTGAGTCACACACACACACACAGTTCACTGTGTCACACACACACACACACAGTTCACTGTGTCACACACACACACACAGTTCACTGTGTCACACACACACACAGCTCACTGTGTCACACACACACACCCTGCTCACTGTGTCACACACACACACAGCTCACTGTGTCACACACACACCACTGTGTCACACACACACAGCTCACCGAGTCACACACACACAGCTCACCGAGTCACACACACACACAGCTCACCGAGTCTCACACACACACCCCACGAGTCTCACACACACACCCTGCTCACTGAGTCTCACACACACACCCAGCTCACTGTGTCACACACACACACAGCTCACTGTGTCACACACACACAGCTCACTGTGTCACACACACACACAGCTCACTGTGTCACACACACACAGCTCACTGTGTCACACACACACAGCTCACTGTGTCACACACACACACAGCTCACTGTGTCACACACACACAGCTCACTGTGTCACACACACACAGCTCACTGTGTCACACACACACAGCTCACTGTGTCACACACACACAGCTCACTGTGTCACACACACACAGCTCACTGTGTCACACACACACAGCTCACTGTGTCACACACACACACAGCTCACTGTGTCACACACACACACAGCTCACTGTGTCACACACACACAGCTCACTGTGTCACACACACACAGCTCACTGTGTCACACACACACACACCCTGCCCACTGAGTCTCACACACACACACACACAGCTCACTGTGTCACACACACACACACACCCTGTTCACTGTGTCACACACACACACACCACTGTGTCACACACACACAGCTCACTGTGTCACACACACACACAGCTCACTGTGTCACACACACACACAGCTCACTGTGTCACACACACACAGCTCACTGTGTCACACACACACACAGCTCACTGTGTCACACACACACACACCCTGCCCACTGAGTCTCACACACACACACAGCTCACTGTGTCACACACACACACACACCCTGCTCACTGTGTCACACACACACACCACTGTGTCACACACACACACAGCTCACTGTGTCACACACACACACAGCTCACTGTGTCACACACACACACAGCTCACTGTGTCACACACACACAGCTCACTGTGTCACACACACACAGCTCACTGTGTCACACACACACACACCCTGCTCACTGTCACACACACACACACAGTTCACTGAGTCACACACACACACACACACAGTTCACTGTGTCACACACACACACACAGTTCACTGTGTCACACACACACACAGCTCACTGTGTCACACACACACACCCTGCTCACTGTGTCACACACACACACAGCTCACTGTGTCACACACACACCACTGTGTCACACACACACAGCTCACCGAGTCACACACACACAGCTCACCGAGTCACACACACACACAGCTCACGAGTCTCACACACACACCCTGCTCACGAGTCTCACACACACACCCAGCTCACTGTGTCACACACACACAGCTCACTGTGTCACACACACACAGCTCACTGTGTCACACACACACAGCTCACTGTGTCACACACACACAGCTCACTGTGTCACACACACACACAGCTCACTGTGTCACACACACACACAGCTCACTGTGTCACACACACACAGCTCACTGTGTCACACACACACAGCTCACTGTGTCACACACACACAGCTCACTGTGTCACACACACACAGCTCACTGTGTCACACACACACAGCTCACTGTGTCACACACACACAGCTCACTGTGTCACACACACACAGCTCACTGTGTCACACACACACAGCTCACTGTGTCACACACACACAGCTCACTGTGTCACACACACACAGCTCACTGTGTCACACACACACAGCTCACTGTGTCACACACACACAGCTCACTGTGTCACACACACACACAGCTCACTGTGTCACACACACACAGCTCACTGTGTCACACACACACAGCTCACTGTGTCACACACACACAGCTCACTGTGTCACACACACACAGCTCACCGAGTCTCACACACAGCTCACCGAGTCACACACACACAGCTCAACGAGTCAAACACACACACAGCTCACTGTGTCACACACACACACACATACAGCTCACTGTGTCACACACACACCCTGCTCACTGTGTCACACACACACAGTTCACTGTGTCACACACACACAGCTCACTGTGTCTCACACACACACAGCTCACTGTCTCACACACACACACACAGTTCACTGTGTCACACACACACACAGCTCACTGTGTGACACACACACACAGTTCACTGTGTCACACACACACAGCTCACTGAGTCTCACACACACACAGCTTACTGAGTCTCACACACAGCTCACTGTGTCACACACACACAGCTCACTGAGTCTCACACACACAGCTCACTGAGTCTCACACACACACAGCTCACTGAGTCTCACACACACTGCTTACTTGCTGGCTACGGTTAGGAGCCTGCGGATGACTGTGGTGGGGGTAAACACACGGGCTGCGTGACTACAGGCGGCCGCTCTCCTGAGGAGGACACACGCACACAACAGAGAGAGCCTTTTTACTGACATTTGGGTTCAGTGCTCGTTGCAAGAAGCACCTACGAAGGCTGGCACGGCGCTACGCCTATGCGTGGGTGATGTGGCCAGCACAACGTCCCAGCCGCCTTTGTCTCCCCAATGCTAATGTTTTATGTGTTTTACACACACACACACACACGGCACCAGGTACTCATTTGAGGCCGAGCCGACCTAGGGGAGGTGGCCCGGGACCAGTTTCAGATTTTCGTCACTGACGATCCCAGCGAGTGGGAATTGAGCTCGGATTGGCGGGGCGTGCTAACCGCTGCGCCACCGCTCCTCGCTAGGCTCATCGACAAGACGCGCACACACACACACACACGCAAATACACATGTACACACAGGGACACCACACATGGACACGTATTTACACAGGCAAGCATGTTAAGGATATAGGCACAGGTACACACCCCCACTCACACACGCACCAACAAAGGTACACACCTTATGCGCGCGCACACAGTAGTACACACACAATCATGCAAGCCCATGCACGCACAGGTACACACGCACGCACGCACGCACACGGCAGGACACGTGTATATACACAGGCCCAGGTACACACACACACTCATGCACGCACCCACACAGGTACACACAGACACGCGCACACGACAGTACACATACACAGGGCCGGACACGAACACACACACAAGCGCACGAACGCACGCTCAAATAGCGAAGCTCTAGGGCCAGCCACTCCATGCGCCCTGCTCACGCCGGCGTGTGTCCAATAAGGGATGTGTCGGAAGTGAACAGGCGGACACGTGAATATCCACACTCACCGGGTTGCCAGCGGCTCCTCGAGAGCTCAAACAGCACGCTCGAGTCTCATTGGGTGCGAGGAGCTAACGCTAGGGGTGGGGGGTGGGCGGGGCAGGAGCGGACGTAGGGCGGCGCGCCCAATCGGATTTGAGCGTGGAGAGCCGTTCAAAACGGATTGGTCGACGGGAAAAACTAAACGGAGACGAGGGGGGGGAGGCCGTTAGAGCGGAGCGGTGGGTGGGGGGGGGAACCGAAGAGGGGGGATCAGTGGAGAGTCGTGGAAAGTTCTGGAGAGGATGAGGGAGAGAATACACGGGGCGGATAGAAGGTGGGGGCGGATTCGGAGTGCCTGCTGCGCGGAAGACGGAATTAAGGCAACGTTCAAGACTCATCTGGCTGGAATTTCTCCGCACCAGCGACTGGATATGGACGCTGTGCATGTATGCGTTTCCATGTGCGTGCGTGAATGCATGCGTGCATAGAAATTCTTAAGCGATTTGTATACCTTCCCTGTACTTTGCACTCCAATCAGTGCTTCCGCACCGTTTTGTGTTGTAACATTCTGACCACGTGACCCAAGTGGACACCTGTGAATACGAACTTTAGAGCTCATTGCATTGCCTCCATACTGATGCATATTCTCACGTGGTGCATTGCGTGCGTACACATGTATGTGTGGACGTGTTGCCGTGTGTTGGTTTGCACGCCTATCCACTTGCATGCCCATGCCTGCCCGTTGTGTATGCGTCAGTCAGGTGTGGCGTGGTGCTGGCCACCCACCCCCTCGTGTGCCGTGCCGGCCTTCATAGGTACTACTCGCTAACAGCACTTGCCCCGAAAGTGAAGGCTATAAGGGGGGGTCTTTGCTTTTGTTCGTCAGTCAGTTAGCAACGCTCGCAAAAAAACGAATGACGGAGCGCCGGGCAGCTAACACGCAGTTTTAGTGTAGGAGGAGGAGGGGGGGGCACAGGTGGTGCATCTGCCAGCCATCTCAGTCAGCCAACCCATCATGGTACCTCGATCTAACGGTGCACCTAGCCTGGCACAAGCGCCGTGGTGACGCCAACGCAGCTTCGTCGCGAACGCCGGTTGTTGTTGTTTGTTTGCACGTGTGTAAGGATGTTTACCCGCGCGTCCGTGAATGTGACAGCACGTGTACATGTGTATGCAACTGCACCACCTGCATGCAAGTGTGCACGTGTGTGTAAAGACGCATGTCCTTGCATGCCCAGCCACTGCATGCCCAGCCACTGCATGCCCAGCCACCGCATGCCCAGCCACTGCATGCCCAGCCAGCTTGTTTGGTCGGATAGAGGGGGCTAAATGGGCGTGGCACGGGCTAGAGAAGAGATGGAGTGATGTGGTACAGGAAGACGTGGAGCTGAGTGGACTTGGTGATGACTGGTACCAGCGGGATCAAGATCGGCCTCTGTGGAGGAGGCTCGTAAAGGACGCTGCTGCTTCTGCTGCTGCTACTGGGGAGTTGGAGGCAGTCGCCCTCCAGAAACAACGGAGGGCGGAGGAACGACGCTCACAACAACGAGCGGAGCGCCGGGCGGCTAAAACGCAGCAAGTTGGCACAGTAGGGAGCACAGTTGGTGGACATGCCAGTCATCTCAGTCAGTCAACCCATGTCCCATGACCTCCTGTCAGTAAGCTTTCCACACCTGCACGTGTCCTCATGGTGCACCTTGCCTTGTACAATCACTGTGGTCATGTCAGCACTCACTCAGTAGCGAACGGCACTTGCTGTGCATGTATCTGCATACGTACATTTGTGCACGTGTGTGCATACACGTGTGTGCATACACGTGTGTGCATACATGTGTGTGTGTGTACGCGTGTTTGTGTACGCGTGTGTGTGTGTACGCGTGTGTGTGTGTACGCGTGTGTGTGTGTACGCGTGTGTGTGTGTACATGTGCGTGTGTACACGTGCGTGTGCGTACCGTGTGAATCGAGGTCGTCGCTGGGTGGGACGCCACCACCGTCCGTGAACTCGTGGGGAGGGTCCGGTTTGCAGTGCCCGCAGCAGCAGTTGCAGCAGCAGCACAGGCAGCAGCAGCAGTAGCAGGCGGTGAGGATCCCACACACCACGAAGCAGGCCTGGGGAGACGCGGGGGAGATGCGGGGGGACGGGGGGGGGAGAGACAGAGGGGTGAGAAACACGGAGGCGGTCACAGAATTACAATATGTATTCCTACTCGAGGAATCCGACGAGCTATAAAGCTCTTTTTCAGATGTGTAAGCCGGGTGTTTGGAGCGGGGCACGAGATAAGAACGTCACAACAACAACAACAACACAATGGGAAAGAAAGGAAAACAAACACAACTAAACCACCCCCACATCGTTCCAGGCAAAGCCCACTCAGGTATTAACTTATTCAGCAGTGACCTGACCACAAATGCTATCTCAACAAAGTGGGCCCAACATTTGGACATTTACAGCACCGAACATAAGACGCGGGGGGGGGGGGAGCATTCCAAATGATTAGGTCTAGGAAGTGTCATCATCAACCACGACCAATCCACTGCTGGATGAAAGCCTCCCAAAGTCCTTGCCAGCGCCTACAGTTCTGCAGGGGCTACAGGCAGCACCCCATGCCTGCCATGACATTACTGATTCCAATTCCTGACCTTACCCTAGCACGAGCCATGCGCCTAACCCTCACACTACCTCAGCCTGACCAATACGAACCCTCATTGTATGTGTGTTGAACTTCTTTCGCACCATACGCAGCCAACCGTGCTAATCGGAGTTGCAGTGTTGAGTCTATGGGCAGTGTTAAGTCCATGGGCAGTGTTGAGTCTATTTCTAGTGTTAGTCTATGGGCAGTATTGAATCTATTTGTAGTGTTAGTCTATGGGCAGTGTTGAATCTATTTGTAGTGTTAGTCTATGGGCAGTGTTGAATCTATTAGTAGTGTTAGTCTATGGGCAGTGTTGAATCTATTAGTAGTGTGAGTCTATGGGCAGTGTTGAATCTATTAGTAGTGTTAGTCTATGGGCAGTGTTGAGTCTATTAGTAGTCTTAGTCTATGGGCAGTGTTGAGTCTATTAGTAGTGTTAGTCTATGGGCAGTGTTGAGTCTATTAGTAGTGTTAGTCTATGGGCAGTGTTGAGTCTATTAGTAGTGTTAGTCTATGGGCAGTGTTGAGTCTATTTGTAGTGTTAGTCTATGGGCAGTGTTGAGTCTATTTGTAGTGTTAGTCTATGGGCAGTGTTGAGTCTATTTGTAGTGTTAGTCTATGGGCAGTGTTGAGTCTATTTGTAGTGTTAGTCTATGGGCAGTGTTGAGTCTATTAGTAGTGTTAGTCTATGGGCAGTGTTGACTCTATTAGTAGTGTTAGTCTATGGGCAGTGTTGAGTCTATTTGTAGTGTTAGTCTATGGGCAGTGTTGAATCTATTAGTAGTGTTAGTCTATGGGCAGTGTTGAGTCTATTTGTAGTGTTAGTCTATGGGCAGTGTGTATGTTGAACTTCATTACCATCGTACGTAGCCCACCGTGCTGATCGGAGGTGTGGGGGAAGGACAACACAACAATGAGGAGCTTCAGTCTCTGCGCGCGTGTCTCAGGGTTTCTCTGTTAATCTAGGGGTCTGTCTGTGAGTCCAATAAAGAAATCAAGTAAGCTGAATCCTTGATTCCTTCTGGAACACAGTCACAGGGTTCAAATGTTCGCGCCCAACACGGAGTTCCGGGGCGTTCAGGCCCATTTACACCACCGAGTCTAACCTCGCCAAACCGCAGACGCTAAACAACCGCTCACCAAAACAAAAAAGAGGGGGTGGGTGACCAGCACCGCGCGCCCGGCCACATTTGTCTCCCGAGTGGCGATGTTTACCACACACCGCACCAGCTTACCCATCCGAGGCCGAGTCAACATAGGGGAGGCCCTCGGGACCATTTCAGATAATCGCCACCGGCGTTGGCCGCGAGTGGGAATCGAACCCGGGTCCGCGGGGGTTCGCAACGCAGCGCAGCCAGGCGCTCACCGCCACCTCGACCACAGCCACCCGCTGAGCAGCGAGTATGGTCGACGAACAACCCTGGGGCCTGTCAAGCAGGCCGTCACCCCTTGTCGCCCCTCCCCCACCCCCCTCCCCGTGCCCGCACCTTGACCCAGGGGCTGGAGAGCACGAAGTACGTGTTCACGTTCTCCTCCCCGAACTGCTCTGCGATGTAGAGGCCCATCGAGCCGTATTGATCGTAGACGCTCTTCTTCGTGGGGTCCGACAGGATGCTGTTGGCGCTGTTGATCTCCTGAAACTTCTCCGACGCGGTTGGGTCATCCGGGTTCTTGTCCGGGTGGAACTTCAGCGCCAGCTTCCTGGAAACGGGCGGGCGGGGCGGGCGGGGGGGGGGGGGGGGGGGGCGGGCAGCGGAGGTCGGAGGCGGGGCGGGGGGGGGGGCACGGTCAGGGCGGATGGTTGCGGCTGTGGCTGGGCTACATGGGGATACACGCGTCCCCAAACGCGTCCCCAAACGTGTCCCCAAACGTGTCCCCCAACGCGTCCCCAAACGTGTCCCCAAACGTGTCCCCAAACGTGTCCCCAAACGCGTCCCCAAACGTGTCCCCAAACGTGTCCCCAAACGTGTCCCCAAACGTGTCCCCAAACGCGTCCCCAAACGTGTCCCCCAAACGTGTCCCCAAACGTGTCCCCAAACGTGTCCCCCAACGTGTCCCCCAAACGTGTCCCCAAACGCGTCCCCAAACGTGTCCCCCAAACGTGTCCCCAAACGTGTCCCCAAACGTGTCCCCCAACGTGTCCCCCAAACGTGTCCCCAAACGTGTCCCCCAAACGTGTCCCCAAACGTGTCCCCAAACGTGTCCCCCAACGTGTCCCAAACGTGTCCCCAAACGTGTCCCCAAACGTGTCCCCCAACGTGTCCCCCAAACGTGTCCCCCAACGTGTCCCCCAAACGTGTCCCCAAACGTGTCCCCAAACGTGTCCCCAAACGTGTCCCGGTGTAACCCGTGTCCCCAAACGTGTCCCCAAACGCGTCCCCAAACGTGTCCCCAAACGTGTCCCCAAACGTGTCCCGGTGTAACCCGTGTCCCCGCGCGCCTTCCCCGTGTCCCCATCTCTCCGTCTTCCCCCATGCGTCCCCCCCGGTGCCCCGTGTCCCCCCCCCCCCCCCGGCGCGTGTCGCCCCCCCCCCCCGCCCCCCCCCCCGCCGCGTGTCCCCGTGTACCTGTACGCCTTCTTGATGTCGTCGGGCGTGGCACCCTTGCGCAGGCCCAGCATGAGGTAGAGGCTCTCGCCGGACGTGGACATGGAGCGCTGGCGCCCATCGGCCCCCGGGGGACCGCCGCGCGGGGCCGCCATGCACGCAGCCTGCACACACACACGCGCGTGCAACAAAGGCAAAAATCCCCCGGATAGCATTCATAGACTGCTGGGGCAAGTGCTGTTAGCGAGCAGCACCTGTGAAGGCCGGCACGGCACACGAGGGTGGGGGGTGGGGTGGCCAGCACCACGCCCGGCCCGGCCTTCGTCTGCCTCGCGACGATGTTTACTACATCGCAGCAGGTATTCGTTTGAGGCCGAGTCGACCTAGGGGAGGCGACGCTGCGCTGGCAGTGGTGAACAAACAAACAAACAACAACAACAACAACACCCACGAAGCCCATGATCCCCTATATATAGCTCGGCTATGAAGAAGGCCCATTGCCTAAAACGTCACCCGTTTTAACATAGATTTAATAAATATATTTGATTTTGACAACCCTGTGGTCCCTATATATAGCTCGGCTATGAAGGCCCATGGCATGAATCGTCGCCCGTTTATTAAAAAAATAATTAATATATTTCATTTTTATGGCAAGTATTATTGAAGAACATGTTCAGTATTTTGTATAGATTTTGCATTGGTCCGCGTGTACTATACTTGCCTTTGATCTGTTCTCCCGACAATTGAATCTCAAAGCTGGTGTTCAGTAAACAACAAGTGAATGATGCTGCACGTAGACTCTCGTCTCGAGTGCTTGAACCAGGTGAGAGAGAACGCGAGAGTGAGACCAGGATGAGTCGCGGTGGCTAGGAGATGTTAACAACCTCGCCTGGTATGCAGGAGGTCGTGCGTTCGATCCCAACCCAGACGCCTGCTGCTGTGTATTTGGAGTTTGCGTGTCTCATCATCATCATCATCACGGTGGCTAGGAGATGTTAACTACCTCGCCTGGTATGCAGGAGGTCGTGCGTTCGATCCCAACCCAGACGCCTGCTGCTGTGTATTTGGAGTTTGCGTGTCTCTCTCTCATCATCATCATCACGGTGGCTAGGAGATGTTAACAACCTCGCCTGGTATGCAGGAGGTCGTGCGTTCAATCCCAACCCAGACGCCTGCTGCTGTGTATTTGGAGTTTGCGTGTTCTCCCCCACCGAGAATCGAACTCTGGTCGCCGGGTTCGAAGCGCAGCACGCTAACCGCTACACTACCACTTACCACACACACACGCACGCACGCCTGGCCGCCTTTGTCTCCCTCGGGGATGGCGTTAACACCGCGAGATGTTATCTGCATCGCCTGCTATGCAGGAGGGTCGCGAGTTCGATCCCGACCCTGATGCCTGCTGTATATTTGGAGTTTGCAGTGTGTCTCTCTCTCTCTCGCTCCCCGTGGTGGCGTGGATTTTACTCCGGGTCCTCTGGTTTTCCCCTCCACATTCGTAAAGAGTCAACATCACGCTCTTAGAGTATTTGGCTCCTGCTATACATTTCCACACGATGATAAGCCACTTCGCTGAGCGATCATTTGTGGCCAGGTCACTTCTGAGAAAGAGCTACATAACAACACAGCTTAGTGGAGCCTTACCTGGTAAAATAAAAAAAAATTGTTTAAGTTTAGTCCCATTTCACATGAATGACCCACCCCCGGCTCGCCTAATTGACAAACACAAGGGCACTTAAATTTCGATTTAAAGCTTTCGTGACTGCAGGGATTCATCTTCTCGGTTCTTTCGGCAAAGTCACGTAGAAGGGAAACAATAAAATAATAAAAATTTAAAAACATAATAATTATGCTTTATTATTTTATGTTTTATATGTTTTTATTCATCTTTTATTATGTCCCTTATACGTGACTTCACCGAAAGAACCAAGAAGACAAGAGCACTTTTCCAGGACATGTAAATATTTAAACCAATTTAAACAGAGATACGTGCCCTCTCAAGTACCCACTTAGGTACCGTACACTCCAGAGTACGCGGTCAACTACAAAGACACACACACACACTCATTGACACACGCTAACATACACACACACACTGAAGTGCGCACTCAATTACAAAGATTCGCCTTCAACAACAGACTGTTGGGGCAAGTGCTGTTAGCGAGCAGCAGCTATGAAGGCCGCACGGCACACGAGGGGGTGGGTGGCCAACACCACGCCCGACCGCCTTTGTCTCCCCAGTGGCGATGTTTACGGCACACCGCACCAGGTACTCATTTGAGCCCGAGTCGACCTAGGGGAGGCCCAGGACCGGTTCGGATAATCGTCACTGGTGTTGGCCGTGAGCGGGGGATCAAACCCGGGTCGCCGAATTCATAGCGCAGCGTAGCGCTAACCGCTACACTATGCTGTTAGCGAGCACACAGGCACACACGAACACTCACACGTACACACACAAAGACAAAGATTCCCATTATAGCCTGTAACAGACTTTTGGGGCAAGTGCTCTTAGCAAGCACCTATGCAAGCCGGGATGGCACATGAGAGAATGGGTGGCCAGCACTACGCCCGACCGCCTTTGTCTCCCTAGTGGCGATGTTTACACACCGCACCAGGAACTCATTTGAGGTCGAATCGACCTCGGGGAGACCCATAACCGGTTCAGATGATCGTCGCTGGTGTTGGGCCTTGAGCGGGAATCGAACTCGGGTCGCCGGGTTCGTAGCGCAGTGCACTACGGTAACCACCAGACTTCCGCTCACCACCCTCACACACTCAATGCCACATTCGCGTGCAAAAACATTCGAATGCAGAATTTAGCACACTTACACATAAGAGTTAGCAAATCTCTGGGAGGCCCATGAGGGACACGTGGTCGTGAGATTGCAGTCAGCCCGCTCCCTCCTGAAATGAGTGCCCTCCCCGTTCTTAGACAACCCCACCCACTGAACCACAAGCCCCTCTGTATAGAGGTAGCCCTTGCCTTACAAACACCCCCCCACTTTCTAACACCCCAACTTTATAACACCCCCACTTTATAACACCCCCCACTTTCTAACACCCCCCCACTTTCTAACACCCCCCACTTCCGAACACCCCCACTTCCGAACACCCCCACTCCCGAACACCCCCACTTCCGAACACCCCCACTTCCGAACACCCCCACTTCCGAACACCCCCACTTCCGAACACCCCCACTTCCGAACATCCGACTTACAAATAAACGACTTGCTAACACCCGTCTTACGAACACCCGCACTTAAGAACTAGCTTCCATTAAATATTTACTGTGGTTTTTTTTAACACCTACTTAAAACGCTAACTCGCACACGCAAACCGAACCGCGGGTCAGCCTCGCGCTGTGAGCGAGTGTTTGTGTGTGTGTGGCCATTTAAACTTACACTTGATTACTGTGTACCGACCGAGAAAACCGTTTGACTTACGAACGGGTCTCAGGAACTAATTGTGTTCGTAAGTCAAGCACTGTCCGTACACCACCGTGGCAGCTGCACGCCCCGACTCGACAGGAGAATGCAGCGGGTGCACAAATGTAGACTCCACCTGTTACGCCTGTATGGGATACAGCGTTTCCCCCTCGCACGCAAAGGGGGTTTTCTCAGGGTGATCCGGTTTCCTTCCGCACACGGTGGCGAGATGTTAACTACCTCGCCTGGTATACAGGAGGTCGTGGGTTCGATCCCGACCCCGACGCCTGTTGTCTATTTGGAGTTGCACGTCTCTCTCCACGTTTTAGAATCAACATGCGTTTTAAGAGCATGTGGTGGCTATAAACGTCCACGCGACAAGCCAATTCTCGTTGAGCTGTCAATTGTGGCACGGGGTCGCTTCCGAAAAAGAGCCACAAAGCTCCGTGAAATTTAAACAGTTCATAAAAAATGGTTCAAAACACTCATTCAAAAGCCAATAACACACCTTAACATATATATAGGACCGCAGAACTTGGGCAATTGGTGGCGCCAAGTCGTTTCGCTCCCCCAGAGCGAGCGAATATCGTGTAGCGGGCGACACGATAGAAGTTGAAATTACTATTATTATCAGCTGTGCGGGAAACCAGTTATAGATCATTATCATTTTTGTTTTCTCTTTTCATGCAGTCACGCGCAGGAAAGTGAACCCTTTGGCCGGCCCTCCGTCACGAGTTAAGAATTGCCCTGGCACCCATTCAGGAAGACGCGCGAGCACCGACTGAGCAGAGGCTGAAGGTCAGTCGGGAAATGGTACCGGGGCACCGAGTGAATGAGCTATTTGGGCAAACACCACGTACGAGTACACGTACTATACGCGCGTACACGTAGAAATATACGCGTGGGCACATGCTACGCGAGTGCACACACGTATACTAATACGTGTTACACAGACTACACGCGTGCACACACGCAGTAACACACGTAGTAACACACGTGGAAGCACAGACCCCCGCCCCCCCCCCCCCACGCATGCGCACATACCAACAAACGCGTCCACACACCGCACATCATACACCACAATACAACTCCTCGCGTGTCAAGCGGACAAAGGCGGCCACTTGCATCGCGCGCACTTTCAGATGGCGATTCGGCGGCCGTCTGGAACGTTCTTCCTTCCGATATCGGGAAGCCACTGGGAGCTGCGTAACTTTTAAATGATCTACAGCTGTGGTCCTTCTTAGCCTTTAGTGCAGCCTTACACCCCTTTGGTTATCAATCGTTAACACGTACGTAATGTGAATAAACACAGAGGGTTTGTTGAAACAGAGCAAGCCGTAACGCGCAACGTGCGCGTGCTCAATTTGTGTTGTGACGATTTAACTGACCTCCCAAAACAATCTGGCCGTGTCTCGCCCCTCCCCAGGAAGGGCATCTCGCACCTCCAGGGGCCGAGTGCATAAGAACCACTGATCTCGATTGACAAACCCCTTTTCCTGAGAACAGCTTGTTGTGTTATCGTTTGTTGTTCCCGGCCCCCCCCCACCCACGCGCCTCCAATCAGCACGGTTGGCTACGTACGGCGCGAAAGAAGTTCAACATATACAGACACGCACACAACGCTCCCCAATTGTGTGCGTACACTAGCACGTGTCTGCGAATACAAACCGCACCTGCAAATCCCCGACCCAACATCGAGTACTGGTGAGTCGGCACTCAAAAGGGTACGGCACAGGCGACACGTGTCAGGGCTAAACAGGAAATACTAGTACGAACGACATTACAAGGCGTGTTTTGTATGTATGTGTTGAACTTCTTTCGCACCGTACGTAGCCAGCCGTGCTAATCGGAGGTGCGGAGGGGGGGAGGGGCAAAACAAACTTTATACTCTTTGGTCCTTTCGGTAAAGTCACGTGGGTATAAAATAAAATAAATGACGACGTTTCGATCGCAACACAAGCCGGTCGTCCTCAGGCGGAAGAAACATATTTCGAAACGTGATTTTATTTTTTTTGCCCACGTGACTTTACCGAAAGAAGCAAAGAGTGTGGATTCCTGCAGTCGTGAAAGCTTCAAATCAAAACAAACTTTACGCAAAAATTTAAAAAAAACAGGTATTGCGTGCGTTCTTTTGGACTCAAAAAACGGCAGAATGGACATACATAATGTTTGTTAACGGCCAATAACCCAACCAATAAACGATATCCCTTAAGAATTTCTATGAATTACAATAACGCCAACGGCCCACTGGTCTTCGGACCTGATTGGCTCACAGGTGACGACGTCACATTGGCTCACAGGTGACGACGTCACATTCATCCCTCTCAGGGGGAGGATTTCTCCACAATTCTGGCTGTTGCCTGATGATGCCGGTTGTTGCCGCTGCTGCTGCTGGAGTTACCGGGCCAAATGTCACGGTGCTCGAATTGTAAACGTTGTGCAGGTGACTTAGGACGGCTCGACTTGAAACCCCCCCCCCCCCGCTTTTCCGACCTTTCTTACAGCAAATAAATAAGACCTCCCACAGTATCGACCAAAACTTGTATCTACGACCCCCGAGTCGGTGAGCGACGGTAATCTGCGCGTAATCATGCACGCACACTCAGCTTTGATCTTCCGCCGTATGCGTATGTTACAGCATCGGCCGACAGGCTGCAGCATTGCCGGGAACGAACGCAACTTTCTCTAGCGCAAAGCGCTTCACTTGTAGATTTGTTTTCGCCTATCGCTGCCGCGTCTGAGAAGAGGAAATGCGATGCACGTGCAGAAAAGTGCTGAAGAATTTTCAAATGCGTTTGTTTTTACCTAACAAATGTTTGTAAACGTTACGTTCAGTGTTTGTTCGGGTTATTTTCGTGGTCAATTATGGTATTTGTATGGTGTGTAAATGGGTTTCCAGGAACAGAACCCCAAAGTTTAACATTGCGCCGATGGGAAATAAGGGTTCGACTAAGATCGAACGCGACCGTCTGTCCAGGAACCAATTAGGTCGGAGGTATGGGGGTCGCCTGGAGTGCGTTTACTCTCCAACAAAACCGGCGTGCTGAACTGGTAACTATCTGGCATGTTTTATATACCAGTGACGTGCGGTGAGGTCAATGGCTGGGGAGGCACTGGCTGGTATCAGAGCCAGATTTACACACTAAGCGAGGCGTGTTCTCGCTGAGGGGGGCGTGTTCTCACTGAGGGGGGCGTGTTAGACACGCCCCCTCAGTGAGGCAGATGTGATAGCCGCCTCCCCTGGTGCTTTTTCATTGCAGTTTCATGACGAGACCAGCGAGCCTAAATATCTTTATACACTTACGTGAAACAAGTTACCTGGAGTATGGACGGCGAGGACATGAAATGAAGGGGTCTACAAACATTACATTGGTGACACACTGAGATAGTAACAGGCACGCGCTTATTGCCTACGCTCCATCCAGTTACTGAGGGGTTGCGCAATCAGAGGGGAGGCTGAGCTTGTCGCTGCCTCACCTCTCGTCTCTTCCTGTATTTGCAGCGGAGCTCCGCAAATTTGGCGATTTTGACTCTGAAAATGACTGGAATCGTACAGAAATGACATTTATAACACCGATCGGTGGAAAAATCTTAATATTTATTTTATTTGATTATTTTTTTTCGTAACGGCTATTTTCATTGGAGTATGACAGGTGAGGCTCTGCCTCCCCCGCCTCCCCTGACCGCACGTCCCTGTCTGTGGGTCTCTACGTGACACAAGCGGTGTCGCGCACTGCGACCCCGAATTCGATTCCCGCTCACGGCCAAACACCAGTGACGATTATAATTATCTGATCCGGTCCTGGGCCTCCCCCAAGGTCGAGTCAGCCACACCTCCGATTAGCACGGTTGGCTAAGTACGATGCGAAAGAAGTTCAATATACATACATACAAATGAGTACATCGCCACTGGAAAGACAAATGCGACCGGGCGTGGTGCTGGCCACCCACCCCCTCGTGTGCCGTGCCGGCCTTCGTCGGTGCTGATCGCTAACAGCAACTTGCCCTCACTGCCTGTTCAAGGCTATACGGGGGATCTTTATCTATAGGTGAGCGAAGTGGCCAGTCACGGGCAGAGTAGACTAGGAAAGTCGATAGCACCCACAGTGGGTAAGGGATTTCCAGACCAGAGGGTCAGCGGCAGAGGAGAGTGAGGGACTTCCCACTGAGCGCTGGTTGACTGGGGGTTTAGAGACAAAGCCTTGGTTGCTGGAGCCTGCTGTATATTTGGAGTTTGCGTGTCTCTCTCTCTCATCATCATCACGGTGGCTAGGAGATGTTAACCACCTCGCCTGGTATACAGGAGGTCGTGGGTTTGATCCCGACTTTGACGCCTGTTATATAGAATTTGAGGTGTCGCTCTCTCTCCCTCCGTGGTCACGTGGATTTTCTCCAGGTCCTCCGGTTTTCCCTGCACATTTAAAAGCATGGGCTTAGAGCATTTGGCTGCTATACATTTCCACGTGCTTAGCCACTGCGTTGAGCTATAATTTGTGACCGATTCGCTTCTGAAAAATAACCTACATAGCTCAGTTGGGGTATTACCTGGTTAAAAAAAGACGTAGTTTTAAAAGTTCGACCCGGGTTCTGCTTTCAGTTCCTCTGTGAGCAGTGAGTGGGGGGGGAGGCAGTGGGTGACGGCACGAGATGGATTGAGATGGAGGAGAGGGATAGACCAGTGTTCTTCACTAATTTTCAGTGGGGGCAGTGAACACTTTCGGCGATAAGAGACATCGGTGTGTGAGTGTCGCCATACATCTGAAACCATTGGGGTTAGACAACACGATGGGGAGGAGCGGTGGGGTGGGGGTGTTTTCACTCTGTGTGTATTGTCGAGAACCGCACTGAAGACCGTCAGGGGCCGCGGGCCTTGCAGTGAACACCGCTGGGGCAGAGTGAGGGTGGGAAATGTGGGGAGAGAAGAGAGCGAGCGAAAGGGGAAATGTAATGGGGATGGAGCGACGGAGGGAATGAATGAGAGAGTGGAGGTGGTGAGAGAGCTCGGAATGGAGAGAGGCAGAGAAGGCGCAAAGAGGGGGAGAGATGGAGGGCAGGGAGGGGGTAAATTTAGCCTCGAGGCCCCGTAATGTCGGATAAGAAGGCTTATCGAGGCAAAGCCAAGAGGATTAAACCTGCACGGCTTTAAGGTTGGGTGGGAGACGCGGGGGTGGGAGACGCGGGACACGGGGTGGGAGACGCGGGGGTGGGAAAGTGTGACGGTGAACGACGGTGGATTGGCAAGATAAGAGGCGCATGGTGGTGAAGGAGACGCAAGGATGGAGCCCGCGTGTGAAAGTGACACACGGGGGTGTGAGAGGGAGGAGGGGTGGAGAGAGGCCGGCGTGAGCGAGACGCTGCGTAACCGAGGGAGTCACGACACGGGACGGAGTAAAAGCGACAACACAGACACACAACCGCGTTACTGGACGAGTTCACCGGACCCCGCCCCCGCCTGGTTCCGGGTCCACCGCCCGGCCGGGACGCCGCGACCCCGGCCTGCGCCGCTATCCGAGGACCGGCCGCACTCCCCTCCCCACCGCACGCGCTAGGCCGCAAACCCGCGCGACTCACCCTGAACGCGACGAGCTTGCGATGACCGCGGTCGCTCGCTCGTGCGGCTGTCGCGGTCGCTCGCGGGCTGTCTGCGTCGTTCGCTGCTGAGGGTTTCCCCCTCTCCTCCTCCTCAGTTAGTCCCCTCGACTCGCCATTCCTGCGCTGCAGTGAACGCGATGGCCCGGTTCACCAGCGTCACTCTGATAAGAATCGAGGTGGGTGGGGGGGCGGGTAGGTGTGATGACATCACGACGCACGCCGCCGTTGGCTCTCGACGTCATCACGTTGAGTGCGTGCAGTGCGTCGGACGCACGTGCACGGTGGTGGTGGGGGGGTAAGGATTTCGCGCGGCGGTCGTCGTGCGCGGTGACGCAATCACGTAACAAAGTCGCGCGCGGTGACGTCACCGCGTTGGGTCTGAGGTGCCCCGCGGCTGCTGCCGTGACGTCTTTCGCCGGATTCTCCTCGGCGGTTCTTGACGTCACCATTACGTATTAGATCATCGCGTAAGTAATTGTGACGTCATCGCGCAACGTAACCATACTTCACCACGCCGGTCTGCGGGTTTAGATTACATGGCTTGCTAGAAATATCCACGCGATAAGCCGCTTCGTTAGGGACCGTCCATAAATGACGTCACGCACCTGGGAGGGGGGGGGTCAGACATTTGTTACGATGTGTGACGAGGGGGGTTGAGAAATTTGACGTCACATCAAAATGCGCAACTTTAAATAGATATAGAATTGTTATGACAACACTAATTGTTATAACAACACTCCTACAACATCAGAGTACAATAGTTTAAAGCGATTTGAAGCATGTTTAATTTTCAAAATGTAAATATTGTTTTGGGGGGGGGGCAGAGCTTTGTGACGTCATATTTGAGGGGGGTCTGACTTTTTGTGACGCCGTGTGACAAGGGGGGGGGGTCATAAATCGTCCAAAATCGCGTGACGTCATTTATGGACGGCCCCTTAAGCTATCATTTGTGGCCAAATCGCTTCTGAAAAAAAGCTAATAGCTCAGAATACGAATCGGAATACTTATTTACGAGGTAAAATTTAAAGTTAGTTTTACTGGTAGGAAACGTAGTGGACTGGAAGCCCAACCGGGATTAATTCTCACAGGGGGCAGGGGATTAATTGTGTATGTCTGTGGATGTCTGTCCACGTGGGAGGGGTGGGGCTGGGTGGAGAGGGGAGGGTAGGGAGGGCCTGGGTGGGGAGGGTGGGGAGGGTGGGGAGGGGAGGGTGGGGAGAGGTTGAGTGGGGAGGGGGTGGGGCTGGGTGGGGAGGGGCTGGTCACCCCGTGGTGCCCTTATATGGACTGGAAGCCCAACCGGGATTAATTCTCACAGGAGGCAGGGGATTAATTGTGTATGTCTGTGGATGTCTGTCCACGTGTATCCGGACACCCGGATAAAATGGGAGGGGTGGGGCTGGGTGGAGAGGGGCTGGGTGGGGAAGGGAGGGTGGGGAGGGGCTGGGGGAGGGGAGGGGAGGGTGGGGAGGGGGTGAGTGGGGAGGGTGAGGCTGGGTGGGGAGGGTGGGGCTGGGTGGGGAGTGGGAGGGGTGGGGCTAGGTGGGGAGGGGCTGGTCACCCCGTGGTGCCCTTATAAAACTCAACGTTTAACCTACTCACGCCGGCTTGTGCGGAATACACCACGCGGTGCCGCCGTTGACCCTGGCCATTGACCGAGCAACCCAACGTTCCTACCAGCTCCCTCCGCAGGAGAATGTGTTTATTTATATTAATTTGTGATTTGCTTAACTTCCCCTAAACTTTGCACTGCTATCGTTTTTTTGCGCTGTTTGTTGTAACATCGTGACCCCGTGTCCCTACAGGACATCCGTGCAAAAGAGCTTTACAGATCATCGGATTCCTCCTCCAGTATAAGTAAATATTCAGGTTCTGTCGAAGGCAGGGAGTGAGGGGGGCATAGTGGTGCAGTACAACGGTTGATTTTGCTGCACGACCTCCGCAGAACCAATGCATAGCAGAGCCCATAAGGGGCCGTCCATAAATGACGTCACGCCATTTTTGGACGATTTTTGACCCCCCCCCCCCCTCGTCACACGGCGTCACAGAAAGTCAGACCCCCCCTCTCAAATATGACGTCACAAAGCTCTGCCCCCCCCCCCAAATGAATATAAAACACGCTTCAAATCGCTTTAACTATTGTCATTGTAGTGCGTATTTAATGTGGCGCTGCACTCTGATGTTGTAGGAGAAAACATTTATTAAAAAGTCTATTTAATGAAGTAGAACGTGTTGTCTATATTCATTTAAAGTTGCGCGTTTTGATGTGACGTCACATTTCTCACCCCCCCCCCCGCCGCCTCGTCACACATCGTCACAAATGTCTGACCCCTCCCCCCGCCCCCAGGTGCGTGACGTCATTTATGGACGGCCCCTTAAGCAGCAGCAAACCAGCAGCACCCTGTGCTCACCTTCCTGGGCTGTTCACAACTGCTCGCGTTAAGTGGCCAGCAACGAGCAGCACGACTGCCAAAGTCTTAACATGTGAATCGGTGTGACGCGTGTTGTGAATTTGAGCAGCGAGGTTGTTGTTGTTTGTTGTTGTCGACGTCGATAGATTTGGGAGGGGATTCCAGAGTGGGACGGTGCGAGGGAAGAAGTGAGAGAGACGTGAGGTGACAGGCATTGTGGTGAGTGAGTGCTTAAGTGGGTGAGTGAGTAGTTGAGTGGGTGAGTGAGTAGTTGAGTGGGTGAGTAGTTGAGTGGGTGAGTGAGTAGTTGATTGGGTGAGTGAGTGATTAAGTGGGTGAGTGAGTAGTTGAATGGGTGAGTGAGTAGTTGAGTGGGTGAGTAGTTGAGTGGGTGAGTGAGTAGTTGAATGGGTGAGTAATTGAGTGGGTGAGTGAGTAGTTGAGTGGGTGAGTAGTTGAGTGGGTGAGTGAGTAGTTGAGTGGGTGAGTGAGTAGTTGATTGGGTGAGTGAGTGATTAAGTGGGTGAGTGAGTAGTTGAATGGGTGAGTGAGTAGTTAAGTGGGTGAGTAGTTGAGTGGGTGAGTGAGTAGTTAAGTGGGTGAGTAGTTGAGTGGGTGAGTGAGTAGTTGAGTGGGTGAGTGATTGAGTGGGTGAGTAGTTGAGTGGGTGAGTGAGTAGTTGAGTGGGTGAGTGAGTAGTTGATTGGGTGAGTGAGTGATTAAGTGGGTGAGTAAGTAGTTGAATGGGTGAGTGAGTAGTTAAGTGGGTGAGTAGTTGAGTGGGTGAGTGAGTAGTTGATTGGGTGAGTGATTGAGTGGGTGAGTAGTTGAGTAGTTGAGTGGGTAAGTGAGTAGTTGAGTGGGTGAGTGAGTGGAATGTGAATTAATGGACGGTCAGTGGATGAGTGAGCGGGGTGAGTGAATGCCCAGTGAGCGAGGTGTGAGTGGTTGAGTAGGTGAGTATTTGAGTGAGCGGGGTGTGAGTGGTTGAGTGGGTGAGTGGTTGAGTGAGCGGGGTGTGAGTGGTTGGGTGGTTGAGTGAGAGGTTGACTGGGTGAGTGGTTGAGTAGGTGAGTGGTTGAGTGGGTGAGTGGCGTGTGAGTGAATGGGCGGTGAGTGGTTGAGTGGGTGAGTGATTGAGTGAGCGGGGTGTGAGTGGTTGAGTAGGTGAGTGGTTGAGTGAGCGGGGTGTGAGTGGGTGAGTGGGTGAGTGGCGTCTGAGTGAATGGGGGGTGAGTGGTTGAGTGGGTGAGTGATTGAGTGAGCGAGGTGTGAGTAAGTGGTTGAGTGGTTGAGTGAGCGGGGTGTGAGTGGGTGAGTGGTTGAGTGAGCGAGTTGTGAGTGGGTGAGTGAGTGGTTGAGTGAGCGAGGTTGTGAGTGGTTGAGTGGGTGAGTGGATGAGTGAGTAGGGTGTGAGTGGTTGAGTGGCTGAGTGGTTAAGTGAGCGAGGTGTGAGTGGTTAAGTGAGCGAGGTGTGAGTGGTTGAGTGAGCGAGGTGTGAGTGGTTGAGTGAGTGGGGTGTGAGTGGTTGAGTGGCTGAGTGGTTAAGTGAGCGAGGTGTGAGTGGGTGAGTGAGTAGGGTGTGAGTGGTTGAGTGGGTGAGTGGTTGAGTGAGCAAGGTTGTGAGTGGTTGAGTGGGTGAGTGAGTAGGGTGTGAGTGGTTGAGTGGCTGAGGGGTTAAGTGAGCGAGGTGAGTGGTTGAGTGAGCGAGGTGTGAGTGGGTGAGTGAGCGAGGTTGTGGGTGGTTGAGTGAGTGGGTGACGTTGTGAGTGGGTGAGTCGGTGAGTGAGCGAGGTTGTGAGTGGGTGAGTGAGCGAGGTTGTGAGTGGTTGAGTGAATGGGGTGTGAGTGGGTGAGTGGTTAAGTGAGGTTGTGAGTGAGTGGTTGAGTGAGATTGTGAGTGCGTGAGTGAGTAGGGTGAGTGGTTGAGTGATTGAGTGAGGTTGTGAGTGCGTGAGTGAGTGAGTAGGGCGAGTGGTTGAGTGGATGAGTGGTTGAGTGAGGTTGTGAGTATTTGAGTGGATGAGTGAGGTTGTGATTGAGTGAATGAGGTTGAGTGCGTGAGTGAGTGGGGTGTGAGCGAGTGGGCTGTGTTGTGACCAACAGTGTGGACGGAAAGCAGGAATGAATGAGTGAAGTTCACGCGAACCAGTAGCCATGGCAGCGGAAAGTCGTCGCAGCAATAGAAGAACGACTGTGCATGGTGGTCGACCCATACAATCACTGCCCAGGTGCCACCCTGCTTGGCCGCTGCACGCAACAGAGAAGCAGTTCCATATAAAGGACCCGGTTCGTGTCACGGTTGGGAATGTGGAAGTCTGCGAGTTGAACTTTAGTCTGGTGTCTTCTTATCGGCCGTTTTGCGTCCCGTGGTATGTTTGTGCAAAGCACCGCGTGTCGGGTCCACTGACCTTGGTTACCCCTTTTGTGTTGAACTTCGCTACAGTCGACGGCCATTGTCCACAGACGAACAATGGCCGTAGATCCACATTGCCAATAGATCCACATTGCCCATAGACCCACATTGCCCATAGACTCACATTGCCCATAGACTCACATTACCCATAGACCAATATTGCCCATAGACCCACATTGCCCATAGACCCACATTACCAACAGACTCACATTGCCCATAGACTCACATTGCCCATAGACTCACATTGCCCATAGACTCACATTGCCCATAGACCCACATTGCCCATAGACCCACATTACCAACAGACTCACATTGCCCATAGACTCACATTGCCCATAGACTCACATTGTTCA